CTCCTCATCCATCTGTAGGAGGGTTGTCCATATCTCTTCCTTGGTAAGAGGGGGCCTCAAGTCGTTCCCTCTGTTCAGGAGAGAGGGACCTGTCAATAGGCTGAAGATTTCCTTTTTCTGTTTCTACAGGGTATCTTTATTTGTAGGGGGGATACGGGTTGCGAAGAGATCCTTAAAAAAGTCTCGAGCTATCTTGACGCAGCCCGCTGTTGTGACGATGGGGTGAGTTTTGGTCCCCCCTGGTGCGTGCAGTGCTTCCACAACTATGCGCTTGGCTCTGGCACGTCGAATATTTTTGTGTCCATTGATCCTTCAGTGGTGAATTGAGAAAGTTTGCCACAAATTTGAGCACCTTGCCAACGATATTGAGCTCGCTGAAGTAGTTGGGTAACTTGGGTTTCCACTGCCTGAATGGAAAACTTATTAAGTGATTGCTTTCAAATTCAGGGAAATATGGGATGTAAATCGTACAGACAATCCTGAGCCAAGTCTGATTTGACTCACTGATTGATTCTTTTATTCTTTGATTGATTGTCAATAATTGATTAATTAATTGTTTTTTTTTCTTTTTTTTCCTACTCTCTAAACCCAGCTCAGGCTCCCTGTTGGTGGGTGAACAATCCAACACTTTGTGAATTCTGCTTCACAATGATAGGAAGAGCTGACATCGAAGGATCAACAAGCAACGTTGCTACGAACGCTTGGCTGCTGCAAGCCGACTTCCCCCTCTTCCTCCTCCTCCTCTTCCTTCTCCTCCTATTCCTCCTCCTCATCATCTTGTGCCATATCTCTCTCCTACTCCTCATCCTTGTCCTCTTCTTCTTCCTCCTCCTCCTCCTCCTCCTCTTTTGGTTCTTCTTCCTCCTCTTCCGCCATATTTTTCTCCTCTCCTCCTCCTCCTCTTCTCCTTCCACCATATCTTCTCCGACCCATCCTCCTCCTCCCCTACCGAAAGTCCAGACACAGAAAAGGATCTCTCTCTCTCTCTCTCTCTCTCTCTCTCTCTCTCTCTCTCTCTCTCTCTCTCTCTCTCTCAAAATCAATCAATCAATGTGATTTGATTGATTGATCTATTGTTATAAAAAAGAAAAGAAAACAGATGTGCCACCCCAGCCAAACTTCCTACCTGACGATGTCTTTGGCTTGGATCGGGTAGGCCGCGAAGACCTGCACCTTGGATTGAGAAGCAGGGGCAATGCCCCAGCTCCACCTCATGAATAAGTAAAATAATGTTAAAAGTCGTCATATTTCACTTGTGCCATAAAGCTCCCACTTATTCTACACCTCTCACATCATCTCACAAAGAAGGGTGGGGGGGGGGGGGCAGGCGCCCTCTCTCTATCTCCCCCCCCCCCCCCCCCCCCCCCCCCCCCCCCCCCCCCCCCCCCCCCCCCCCCCCCCCCCCCCCCACAACACCAACACACACACCCACACCCAGGCAATCAATCAATCAATCAATCAATGCCATTGATTGACTGACTGATTGTTCTTTTTTTTTTTTTAATAAATAAATAGATGTGCCGCCCCAGCCTAACTCCACACCTGATACTGTCTTTGGCTTGGATCGGAAAGGTCTCGAGGGCCTGCACCTTGGATCGAGAACCAGGGACGAAGCCCCGGGTCCACCTCATGAAATAAGTAAAATAACGTTAAAAGTAGTGTGATATTTCACTTTCGCCGTAGAGCTCCTACTTCTCGACTTCTGCCTCCTCCTCTTCCTCCTCGTCCTTATCTTCTCCCATGTCTTTCTCCTCCTCCTCTTCTTCTCCCCCTCGTCCTCCTCCTCTTCTGCCATGTCTTTCTCCTTCTCCTCCTCTTCTTATTCCGCCATATCTTGTCCCCCCCCTCATCCTCCTCTTCTGCCATGTCTTTCTCCTTCTCCTCCTCTTCTTCTTCCGCCATATCTTGTCCTCCCCCTCGTCCTCCTCCTCGTACTCCTCTTCTTCCATGTCTTTTCCTCCTCTTCTTCTTCCGCCATATCTTCTCCTGCCCCTCGTCGTCCTCCTCCTCCTCTACCTTCAAGTCCAGAAACGGAAAAGGAAAAGGCTCGATAGGCTATGCTCTCACAGTTAGAAATTCCCACTTTTTTCCCCCTTTTTTTTTTATAATTCCCCCCCCCCTCTCTCCCAATCAATTAATCAATCAGTCAATCATATTGATTTCTTGATTGCTTATTTTTTCTTTGGATTAATTGCTCCGTTGGTTTTGTTTTTTTTTCGCCCTCTTTAAACCCAGCTCATGTTCCCTGTCGGTGGGTGAACAATCCAACACTTGGTGAATTCTGCTTCACAATGATAGGAAGAGCCGACATCGAAGGATCGAAAAGCAACTTCGCTATGAACGCGTGGCAGCCACAAGCCTTCATCCTCCTCTTCTTCCTTCTCCTCCTTTTCTTGCGCCATATCTTTCTCCTACTCCCCATCTCCTTCTCGTCGTCCCCGTCCTCCTCTTCCTTTTATTCTCTTTTCTCCTCCTCCTTTTGTTCTTTTTCCTCCTCCTCCTCCTTTTGTTCTTTTTTCTCCTCCTACTCCTCCTCTCCCTTCAAGTCCAGAGAGAGATCGAGAAGTGAACCAGCCAAGATGGAACAGGATGGTGATAAAGAAAGTAAAAGAAAGACAGTGCTGACGTTCCTCTCTCTCTCTCTCTCTCTCTCTCTCTCTCTCTCTCTCTCTCTCTCTCTCTCCTCGCAGAAGTTCCCGGCGCGACATGTGAGCGCCGACGCACAGAGAGTCCGTAGGCCAACGGGACAGCGCCGCTACCACTGGCGCACAGCGAAGAAGACACAGGGCCTCGCCCCACCACGTTCGAAATGTGAAAAAAGACAAAAATGTGGCCGGTTCATCTGGCCGTGCTCTAGGGGGAAGTTCATTCTCATTTTGCACATGTCGAGAGTGGTGTGGCGATGGCCAAAAAGAAAACATCATTCGAAAACAAACGAAGCAGAAAGAAAGCCGACTTAAAAAAAGAAAGAAAGAAACCCGACTACAAAAACGACACATGAGTAAGCAAAACACACAACGACAAACGGAAAGAGAAAACAAAAAGAAGAAAAAGAAAGCCATTACTCAAAACCACTCGGGGAAATCGAAAAAAAAAGAGAACTTGCCACTGCCCGGCTGTTGGACAACACGCGGATATCGATTTATTCCAAGGGATCTAGTACGCCTATCGTCAACAGCAGGCCTGATTGCCACACCGGGCGCGCTCGGACATTTGCCGAAAAAGTATAACAACAACTCCGCATTACAAACTGATGCCTGCAAGAATCCCTTCCGCTCGTGCCGTCCATCCGACGATGGGAAGCGAAAGTAAAAAGCGCCTCCTCCCGGCGCGCAGCTTGCCATGAACGTCTCCCACCCCCCAATGCGTGTAAAGAGGTAGGATGACAGAACGCTGCTGTGTTCCGGAATCTCTCCTCTCCTCTCCTTCCAGCAAACTGCGGCAAGCCATCTCCCTCATCTGTTTCCAGCCAACTACGTAAGACCATCTCCTCTCACTCTATTATTAAGATTAAAACCGTCTCTCCCCCAACTTGAGGAGGTAAGGTGGGTGGGAAACCGTTGATGAAGAAGACAAGGGCAGTGGAGAGCAATTTGGATACGGCATGGACGTAAAGCATAGCGAAGGCACATGGCTGTTAGAAGCAAAGAAGGAACAAGTAAACACTGACCCGCAAACCGCAACAGGAACGAATTACAAAAGACTGACCCACAAACCGATTTGACTCATCAGCCGATGTGTGACTCGGATTGAAGGCAATCCTCCACGTGCTGCCCAATCAGCAATCAGGGCTTAACTGCAATCTCGTACAGAGCAATCATTCGCCATGCCAAGCATGATGAGGTGCCAATGCCAGTTTCATGACTACCCTGGGGCCTGGGCTACCAATTTCCGAGATGCCACAGGACAAAAAAGGACAAATCGGATAGAGAACCGAAGGAGATATTGCAATGCAAATCTCCCGAACTTAGAAGCAAAAAAGAAGCGAGCAGAAAACACACGCACTGCCGTTGTTACATGGTTAGACAGCATCTCCTTTCTTCCCTCTTTCTGAGACTTTCTCCCATTCTCCCTTTTCGTTTCCCATGCGGTGTAGTCTCTCTTATCTGGTTGTGCCAGATGACATTGTGATAAGAGTTTAATTCAATGCACTCTCGAATTTACTCATGTACGGAAACATTAGGCATTTAGACATAAACCGAGTAATAGATCTACATGGGCACAGTATACAAATCATGCCGGTAATAAGCAACGATCTAGCAAGAAGGTACCAAACCGATTTGATTGAAAATATGAGTTGAGGGAGTTCAGATTAAAAAAAAAAAAAAAAAAGAAGCATCCCAAGTATCGACCAAAGTCCCTATGGGACTCTCAGACTGGCAAGATATCGCCTAAGGGCGGGCTAGCTTCCTCCCCCGAATACACCGCACGCTCATTATAGCGGGCATGTAGACTAAAAGATGCCTCAAATACAGCTATAACGACCGTTCGTTGTACTCGGGGGAAGTTGGTAGTCTATAATGAAGGAGGAGTAAGGACATCAGAGGTTGGCCTACAAGAAAAAAATAATAGAAAAGAGGGGAAGCGGGAGGAATAAGCTTGGAATAATGTTTCTGTCCCACTGCTCTAGAGGCTAAAGGGGCTGCCCAAGCTTCTGCAACACCATCATTTCACTCCGGCCAAGCCTGTCAAAATTGAGATCCCCCCCTCCCCCCCCAGGCCACACTCACCACCTTCCGCCTGTCCTTGCATCCCTATTCCCACCCTTCGCCCCTCTCCCGCGACACGGGTGGGTCGTTATCCAAATTTCCTGTCACAATAAACAGTGCGGCGTACATGAGGACCCCGCATCGTGAGTCTTATCTTCGGAGCTGTTGCAGAACTTGCTTCTTCGGGACTGACCTCAAAGTCTTTTGGGCAGTCCCTGTTCGCTGCATTGTCCGCTTGCTCCGGGTGCTGGAAAAGGTGTGAGTGCTGGTCCATGATTTCGAGTAAGCCCTCGAAGTCTGAGCTGGAACCGCGAGGTCCGGGACCACCTTCTGACTACCTCTGCTGTTGCCACCGCCGCAGCCGTGCCCAGTAAAATTGTAGGAATGGCTGCCGTCCAGCTACATGATTGGGAACCATTAGCTCAAGTAGCCGTTGGATTACGGCGGCACTGTTAGACTGGATGTCGCAGATGCAAGTTAGATACAACGGCTGTAGTCCCAATTGAGAGGGCAGGTGAAGACATCCTGGGCCACATTGAAGGAGGAGGAGTAGGTGGTCGAGGATGGGTACCGACCAGCTCGCGTGCCTCTCCTCATCGAAGATTTCCTCCGTGGTCACAGAAGAACAAACAAGCAGTCGAAGGACCCGAGTAACATTTCGAACGAGGAGAACCGTTTCAACGGCGTCCTCCATTTCCTCCATCCCCGACACGTCAGCCTCGTAGCACTTGTTCTGAACACTCTCCCTGAATGTGCACGCCGGCCTCCACGCAGGATTACAACAGGGCTCAATCACCCAAAGGTGGAAAATAGTCCAATATCTCTTGATGCGAGAGTCTCGGGGTTTCACTATTTCGAAACGCAAATAGGAGAGGACGGATGAGCAGAATTCTAGGCCATCCAAGTAAATGCTGGGGAGATACTCCGTGCTGCTGCGAAGGTCATCGAGGGAATCTTGGTCGATCGGCAGGGAAGTGGTTTCGACCCACCCTTCCAAAAGTTGGCCGTACAGCAAGTCTTCGATGACATCTGCTGCCAGCCCAACGGCAGATGCATCGCACTGCTGGAGACCCAACCCACGCCAAATGTCAACACCGTGATCCTTATACTCGTCCTCGTCCTCAATGCAAGCAGCTAGGGAATAATTGCTTAGGGTTCTTGGCAATGGGTACGCATGCAATTCTAACACGTGGAGAATGAATCTCCATCCCGTTCCATCCGGGTTGGAGATATCGTGACAGATCAGTCTCTTGTCGACGAGTCTAGCGGCCGCAAGCAGGTCGCGCATCGAGTGCAATACCTCGCGGGTGAACCAGTCAATCTCCCTCCTCCCACACACATTACGGCTGTAGTCGAGACACTGCAGCAGAATCTTTGCCACATATGTGTCCGTGTATCCGGTCTTCAGATAGATTAAAATCTTGGCTATGTGCAGCTTCGAGAATGCCGAGAGACCCGACATCTCTTTCAGTATCCAGCATCGACAAATCCACCCCTCCAGAACATCCAGCAGCCCTGGGATGGAGATGTGAGAGCACAGAGGGGGGGGAAGCTCCTGCAGCCTCATGTCAAACCGATGCCAGTAGACCATCCTCGGGCACAACAGGTAGGCGAAGATCCTTATGGAGTCGGCGACGAGCTGGTGAAACGATGGCTTCGTCTTTCCGGCATCCGAAAAGCCCAGTAGAAGGTTCAGCGTTCGGGGGCAAAGCAACTTCGCCCTTATCCTCTCAGTGAAGTCCCGAACCGCCTCTGCGTCGAAATTGGGTATGGGCGTCTCCAATGACCAATCCCCTGGGCCAAGAGTGGAGAAAGAATTACAAAATCTGTTCGGTAGAGGTGCTACTGGAGCACGCTCATGCTGAAACCGCTCCTTCTCCAAGCAGCCGATATGTGCATACAGCTCGCTAGCAGCCTGTGCCAAACCACAGATTGCGCCGAGGGCAGTCGCTTGAAGACGGAGCTTGTCCTCCTCCGCCACTTCCTCTTGCTCCTCCCCTCCCTCTACCTCCTCCTCGGCTGTCATTCCGTTGGCGTTATTGCCGTGCTCGTCTGCACACAGCTCCTCCGCCACCTCCTCTTGCTCCTCTCCTCCCTCTACCTCCTCCTCGGCTGTCATTCCGTTGGCGTTATTGCCGTGCTCGTCTGCACACAGCTCCAGTAGATGGACCAGCTCCTCCAAGATTTCACCTCCCAAGTGGGTGTAATATCGTGCCATGTCCTGATCAGCATCTGCCTGGTTTCGCCAGGGCTGCCATGGGAACACAGCAAGGCCCGAAGCGAGTCGGCCGAGGATGGCCGCAGCGAGTCGCACCTCTGTCGAACCCACGGGGTTCGTTGTGCATTGGAGCACCCTCAGCAGAACGACATCTCCTCCTGATTGCACGAAATCCCGACCGAAGTCGACATCTAAGGCGAAACGGCTTGCCTGTGGAATATCCTGAACGACATCGGCCATGTCATGCGCAAGGTCTGTATTCCTGAACCGCGATAACTCATGAAGAGCCTCCAATGCCATTCTCATCTCCCCGCGGTTTTTCCTCACCCCGTCCGGACCGTCCGAGCCAGATTCCCAGGACTTCACAGACAGTGTGGGCAAGTTCCGCCGAACGATGTGCAAGAGTTCAGACACGTCGTGAAACCAGAAAGCCGGCAAGCCGCATGTCTCCGAGTGGATCCTGGCGTCCTCCGCGGTGAAGTCGGGGTGCTCCCGGAGGTGTCTCTGATACATGAATCGTAGCTCAATTTCTCGCTCCGTCCTCCATAGCCGCTCCCAAAATGGACCTTCAGGATAACCTACCGAATAGGTGGAAGAAGGATTGCTTGGCCTAATTACCGCCAAACCTTGTGAACGGAAAGCCCGTAGGTAGGGGACAAAAAGAATGGCCGACAAACAAAGTAGGTTTCCCACGACGGCTATGAGAACTAGGGTATCACATTGATTGATATTTCGCGTCTCCCAGTCTGATTCTAGCAAACCGTGCTTACGACGATACTTCGCCGTCAAAACCCTAATCTTCCAAACGAGGAAAATTCCAGCAATAAAGGCAATAAGTCGCAAAGTCACAGACATAAGGAATACACCCCGTCGCACTTTAACTCTATCCTCTAAGATTCGTTTCTCAAACAGTTGGAAACACAGATTGAGTACGCCGGAATACCGCATTCGAATCCGAGAGCAGGTCAGACCAGTCCACCACGTGGATCGAGCAAAGGACACAGAAGATGTAAACAGGGTGAGAATCAGGAAATAGCTAAAGACATGCGGCTGCATGCATGGAGCCAAGGCACCCAACTCCAGTGCAACCAAAGCCAAAGCCACATACGCTGAACAGCTCTCCATCTGCTCAAGAATAGAGAAAAACCTCAAGGCACGCCGCGTTAATGGTGAAAACCTGTAAACCATTTCCACCGATTGGATTTTGCATACAAAGATCTTTATTCGCCACTCCGCCTGTGAGTTCGATAGCCTCGCAAACGTATGTGATTAATATTTCAAAACAATGCCCTGCCGATCCATAGAGCCCTCTCTCTCTCTCTCTCTCTCTCTCTCTCTCTCTCTCTCTCTCTCTCTCTCTCTCTGTGTGTGTGTGTGTGTGTGTGTGCGTGTGTGCGTGTGTGCGTGAGTGTGTGAGTGTGTGTGCGCGTGTGTGTGGGTCACATCGTGCTTGTGTTTGTGTGCATGCGTGTGCGCGCGCGCGCGTATATGTATCCATATGTATACACTTACGGCCTCGCCGCACCACTGTCGAAAGGCACAAAAATTCGACGGCTGTCAGAGCAAATTCGACAGCCTCCATTCGACAGTTTGCCCCCCTTTCGCCACACAGCACTGTAGAGTGCACACACTTGTGAAAGCAAGATGGAAAGACGGACGCGCCTGAGCGTAAGACAAGCACTAGTCCATCCCGACCTTGCCTCCACTCACCAAATTTCGAAGGGAAGTCGACGGCGCAGCCGAGGAGCGTCGAAGCATCGGAGTAGCAGGCTGGGGATTGACCAACTTTCGACAGGAGGTGTCGAGAAGCATTCTCTGACAGCTTGCGAATTTTTTTTTATTTATTTATTTTCTTTTTAGCTTGCGAATTTTCTTCCCGTCTCCGACTTCGACAGTGGTGCGGCGAGGCCCATCGAAAATCGCCTTACATATGGAAAGACGGCTGTCGAAACGCGAAAACGACAAAAATGTGGCAGGTGCATCTGGCCATGTTGTAGCGGGAAGTTCATTCTCGTTTTGCACATTTCGACAGCCTGTGAGGCGAGGCTTTTAGGGTCGACCTGCGTCCTACCTCCCGAAGACACCGTTTTATGCCGCCCAGCATTCTGCTCAGCCCTCTCTCTCTCTCTCTCTCTCTCTCTCTCTCTCTCTCTCTCTCTCTGTGTGACTGTCTGTCTGTCTGTTATCCGTGTGCGTGTGTGTGTCACTGTGTGTTTTTGTGCGCGCGCGCGTAGGTGCGACCCCCTTCCCACCACCCGCCTCCAAAAGCCGAGTCGGACAGCATTCCGCTCAGCCCTCTGTGTGTGTGTGGTGTGTGGGGTGTATGTGGGGTGT